TCGTCTCTCTCTCTCTCTCTCTCTCTCTCTCTCTCTCTCTCTCAATGCTTTCTCTTATGAGATCGGTGCCTGCTCCTGCCCCTCTCAGAATCACCTGATGAACGATCAGTCTCTGAATCAGAGGACCTTCTGCTACTCTTGCGACGCCTTTTCACACTCTCAGCCTCGCTATCAGAATCCAAATACCTATGGCTCCTCTTCTTCCTCTCCTGTCTGCTCTTTCTGTTCTCTCTTTTACTCTTCCTATCTGAATCCTCACTGTCTGAAGGCCTTCTATGCCCCCTTCTCTTCCTCTTCTCTCTCCTCTCTCTCTCCTCTCTCTTCCTATGCCTTCGCTCACTAGAATCTGAATCATCCTCTTCCGAACCCTTGTGCTTTCTCTCCCTAGAAACCCGCTTCTTGTTCGATGAACCTGACACCTTCTTTGTCCCTTTTCCCATGCGAGAAGCGATAATCCTCTCAATCTCTGAATCTTCCTCACTGTCTGATTCATCTTTGCTCTCCTCCTCTTCCTCATCCTCAGAGCTGTCATCTGAGAGGTCATTTTCTTCACCAAAACTGCCCTTCCCATTCGCCTTTTGTTTATCTGAACCAGGGATAACTGCTGGAATTGCTCCCACCTCTTCCTTTACACTCAGAAAGTTCCTACATTGAAAGGTGAGGTGACCCACCCTTCCACACTTTTTGCAGGATCCTCTAGCTTCATCAGCGTTAGAACCAGTTAGTCGTGCCAGGGCAAGAAGGCCCTGAAAGCTAGCATATGCGTTCTCTCCCTCTGGTTCAGATGATTGAACATTCTGATCAGAGGATTGCTTCGAATTGTTCTGGTTTGGAGCATAGGGATCGTAGCCTATGGCGCTTTGCCATATTCCGTGGGTCTGAAGGGCTGCACTGCTGTGAACCCTGTTGTTAGCAGGCATACGAACACGACCTGCAGTGGCCGGCATCTTGAAACCCTAGAGTTGCAGAGAAAACCCCACTTTTAGAAGCTCATGAAAGTTAAAGAAAGGGGCAAGGTGTATTGAATTGATGATATCCTAGATGAAGGAATAAAGGATTGAAATCCTAGAATATTAAGGAGGATTAGGGATTTCTTTGAAACCCTAGATTGTACACGAATAAAAAGAAGAAGAATTTTAATTTCATAAAACCCTAGAAAAAAAAAACATACATATAAAAAACTTGGGACAGTGACCAAAACAAAAAGAAAAAGAAAAATGACAAGTCCTAAGTTTTTGATGCAATTTTTCATTGATTTTTGCTAACTCGCAGAATAAAACACACAATAATTTGGCCCAAATAATACTCCCCTAAGAAATATGGCCCAATTATAAAGGAGAAAAAATATTAAACACAAGGAACAAAAAAATACAACACAGATGTGAGTTCACATGAGGAAATCGGATGCATCTAATGCTCTCAGAAAAAACAATAAAAAAAATGCCAAACAATAACATCTCATACCTGTAGATCGAGGCCTTACAAATTGTAGCACGATGCCTTCAACTTTTCGCAGGGTACTATAGAGAGAGAGAGCAGGAACTTCAAACACAGAGAGACAGAGAGGAGAGAGAGAGAGAGAGAGAGAGAGAGAGAGAGAGAGAGAGAG